GGGGCTCTCGCCCATGCCACGGAAACGTGCACGCAGATGCAGGAAATGCTGTGCTTGCCACGAAATTTGCAAGCCATCTCCAACTGTCCCGCAAAGCGGGGCGTACACCCAGATGCAGGAAATGTTCAGGCCATCTCCAAAGTGCTTGGCCTACCACGCAAAACGGGTCACTAAATGCTGTCCTTGCCACGCAAACGTCCACACAGACTCAAGAAATGCGGCGCGTGCCACGAAGCCTGCAAGCCATCTCCAAAGTGCTGCGCCTGTCATGCAAAACGGGGCCCTTAGCCGACAACCTCCAGTCCCTTTAGATAGCTGCCAAATGCTGCCCATGCCACGCAACCGTACACCCAGATGCAGGAAAAGCCGCGCCAGCCACAAAATTTGCAAGTCATCTGCGCTGTCACGCAAAGCGGGGCCCGGGCAGCCGCGTGCTCGACAACATCCTGTCCATGCCACGCAAACACCCAGATCAGTCAGTGTGAGTGAGTGAGTGAGTGAGTGAGTGAGTGAGTGAGTGAGTGAGTGAGTGAGTGAGTGAGTGAGTGAGTGAGTGAGTGAGTGAGTGAGTGAGTGAGTGAGTGAGTGAGTGAGTGAGTGAGTGAGTGAGTGAGTGAGTGAGTGAGTGAGTGAGTGAGTGAGTGAGTGAGTGAGTGAGTGAGTGAGAGAGTGAGAGAGTGAGAGAGTGAGAGAGTGAGTGAGGTGAGGTGAGGTGAGGTGAGGTGAGGTGAGGTGAGGTGAGGTGAGGTGAGGTGAGGGAGTGAGTGAGTGAGTGAGTGAGTGAGTGAGTGAGTGAGTCAGTGAGTCAGTGAGTCAGTGAGTCAGTGAGTCAGTGAGTCAGTGAGTCAGTCAGTGAGTGAGAGCGAGCGAGCAAGGTGAGGTGAGGTGAGGCGAGGCGAGGCAAGGCGAGGCGAGGGAGGGAGTGAGCGAGTGAGTGAGTGGGTGAGTGGGTGGGGAGGGGGGGGGCAAAAAGAAGAACCCCGCACAAGAATGCGGGGAACAACTCATGAAAGGGCGTATGTTTCGGAGGTAGTGTTCGAAGATATGATTCGCCAAGGTCCCACCTGAAGCAACTCAACACAGCAAAAAGCACAAAGCCTGCAAATTTACCCTAAACGAAAGCAGAAGCATGGGGCGCGTTCAGCGACGAGCATCACACGCCGTACCAGCCCACCTGCTGCCTCGCTGCCGGCCGGCCATCTTCTGATTGCGGGCAGCGTCACGAGTTATGCGACGCCCTGTTGGACAGCTTGTGCCCCCCCGGACGCCGCGGGCCGGCACCCGCGCACGAAGCAGGTGTCTCTGCGTGCGCCGGCAGGTTTTTTTTTGGTCTTGAGAACGTCGCGTGCTTGCAGGGCAGCGTCTGAAGCTTGCCGCGCTGCTTCGCTGCCCTTGTCAGTGTTTGTCGGGGTCGCCGGCACGTGGGCAAAAATCAGCTTTACTCTCCGGACAAGCAGGTCCGTGCCGCCTGAGGCTGTGTCAGCCTTGCTCGGCGCGAGATGCTCTGCATGACGCCTTGGCTCCTCAAGCAACTTCTCTTGCTCTTGCGATGACTGGCGACTTGGCATGGTGGACTTGGACGTCCCAGGGGCCAAGTACTGCGCCGCGCATGGCTTGCTGCATCACAGCCCGTGACGTCCGCGGCAGCGCCAGCAGCAAAGTCTGCACACTGCGGCTTGGCGCGCTCAACGACAGAGCGTTCAGCGGAAGGGCCCTGCATGTTCGTCCAGCGCAGCGTGCGTGTCATCCAAGAGCTTGCGCCCCTGCATGGGACACGGCGCGAGGCACCAATCAGCGAACGCCGGCACCTGCTCATAAGAAGAAGGATGGCGCGCCGGCCGACTTGCGTGACGCGCTTGTTGTTTTGTTTTCACGAACGAGGGACGCTGGGCTCTTTCACTGCGCGCAGCGCCGTGAAGGCCCCAAAGCGGCTTCATGCCTTCTGCAGATGCTCCAGTGCCACCATGCAAGCAAATGTGTTCTCAGAAGGGCATCGAAGTGCTCGAACAAAACCTCACATGTCTGCGTGGGCTGCGCAGAGATTGCCAGACATTTCGCATGCTGTGGCTGAAATTTTGCAGCGCGCGGCGGTCTGTCCGCTCAGCGCAGGCCTCCAACTGCGCACGCGGCTGCCCTGCCATGGCTGCACTGTATTTTAGATGTATATGTTTAGAAGTACCGCGCTGCGATCCAAACAGCTTCGAATGTGCAAGCACCAAGGTGTGCATTTGCGTAATGCTTGCGGCCCCGTTGAAACCGCATTGGACAACTCTCGTGTAGCTTCCTCGATGCATAAGTTGGCACGGAAAGGGAAGCAAGGCACCTCTGTAAACCCTGCGCTCTGGACACGTGTCGCGCGACATGTCTCTTTCGAAAAATAAGGGATGGCTTCGCTCTATGTTGCGTCTACTGCCTTGAAAAAACAACGCGGAAGAATGCTCTCGCGGACCCTGAAAAACAAACAAATCTCGGAAGTGCCGCAAGTAGTTTGTACGTCTGCTAAGTACGTTCAACCTAAGATGTCGTAAGATGTATAAGTTACTTATAGGTCCCACCCTAAGTATGCCAACCCTTCAAGAACTTATGACACTTGCCTCTCGTAAAACCTCTGTTGCTGGTCTTACAACTACTGATACGGAACTTATAAGTGCTCGTATGAGTAGGCGAGAGCCATGGCGGGTGGTTGAGTTAGCAGGAGTGAGAGCGTGACTGAGTGTGAAAGTCAGTGTGAGAATGATGAGTGAGTGAGTGATCGAGGGGGTGGGTGAGGGTGAGTGCGAGTGTGTGCGTGTAGCGGGTGAGTGGGTGACTGAGGCAGCGAGCGAATAAGTGAGTGATTGATTGAGAGATTGGTTGATTGATTGGTTGACTGATTGAGTGAGTGAGTGGGGGACTGATTGATTGAGTGAGTGAGTGAGTGAGTGAGTGAGTGAGTGAGTGAGTGAGTGAGTGAGTGAGTGTGCATGCGGGTGTGAGTGTGAGTTTGAGAGAGGGAGTTGGAGATTGATCCAGCGGGCGTGAGTGTGAGGGTTAGTGGGAGTGAGATTGATAGTGAAAGTGTGATTGTGGGAAAAAGTGTAACGAGAGTGAGAGTGAAAGTGAGTGCGAGTTTGGTAAGAATGGGTGAGAGCGCAGTGCCAGCGCGGGCGTGCGTGCGAGCTTGAGTGTGAGTGGGTGAGTGAGCGAGTGAGTGAGGGAGAGTGAGAGTGAGCGGGGGTCTGAGCTTGTGAGTGTGAGTGAGAGTGCGAGTGCGAGTGTGGGTCTTAGCCTGGGTGTAAGTGTGCGTGTGAGCGCGGCTAAAAATGAGATTGAGAGTGAGAGTGTGTGCGGACGAGTGAGCCCGAGTTTCAGCGCGAGTGAGAGTGTGAGTGGGTGAGTGAGTGAGTGAGTGAGTGAGTGAGTGAGTTTGAGTGAGAGAGTGAGAGAGTGAACGAGTGAGAGTGCGTCGTCATACTGCAAACTTCGATCCAAAAACAATCGAGGAGATTGCGTTCGAGTTTGTTTCTTCTATCAGGTTGGTTTTTTGTTTGTATGTTTTGTCGTTGTGTTATGTTTATTTGTTGTTTGTTTCTTTTGATTGTGTTGTTTGGTTTGTTTGTTTGGTTGTCTGATTGTTTTCGTGCTGATTGCTTACTTGTTTGCTTGGTTATGCGTTTTGTTGGTTGAGTTGACTTGTCAGCTTTTTGTTTTTTGTCGGTTTGGCTTGTTTGTTTGTTTGTTTGTTTGTTTGTTTGTTTGTTTGTTTTGTTTGCTTGCTTGTTTGTTTGTGTGCTTGCTTGTGCGTTTGAACGATCGTTTCTTTGAGTGGCTAGTCTGTCTGGTTGCTGGTGTGTTGGTTTGTTTTTGTGTGTGTTTTGTGGTTTTGTGTGTTTCTTTTGTGTGCTTGAGTGCGCGTTTGTTTGTTCATGTATTTGTATGTTTGTTTGGGTATATTTTCTTGCTGGCTTGCAGGTTGATTGGTTGATTGGTTGATTGGGTTGTTGGTTTGTTTATGTTTGTGTGTGTGTGTTGCTTTGCTTCTGTCTTTGTCAGCGATTTTGTGTGTGGTTGTCTGATGGCGTGATTGTAGGTGGGTTTGTGTTCGCGACGTGTGTGTGTGTTATATATGGCGCGTGTTTTGTTTGTCAAGCATGTCTGCGCTTGGGTCTGCCCTAGAATGGGCAAGTCCACACGTGGGTGGTTTGCCTTCCAAAAACGGTCAAAGCCCTAACGCACGCATGGAGCTGGTGCCAGTGTTGTGTCCAGGGCGTTGTTGGTCACATGCATCGTTTTGGACACAAGGTTTGAAAACGTGTCCTTGGGTCCTTGGGTTGCTATCTAGTTTGAGTACCATAAAAAAGCTGGCGTTTGGTAAAGGAAGGAAAGAAAGAGCAAGCATTTATGCACAAAGGCTAATTTGACCAGAAGCTGAAACATACCTTCAAAAGGGTGGCGATCGGGGTGAGAAGAGGCGACCGTGAGAGAGGGTTCCTTATGGTTACCTTATGGAGGATTCACCCAAATTGTAATCGATGTGGGTGTCCAGTTATTTCAGTAGGGGATGAGCAGGCAGTTCCTTCTGGCCATGGCGGTTTCCAAAGGAGGTTGATTGAATGATGCACTGAGTCGTGTCGGTACCAAGGACACTTTGATCGATCGATCTCAAGTCTTTACTCCTCGCACGGCTTATGATAAGGATTGGCCCGGAACCTTTATATAGTCGCCTTATCAGTCAGTGAACCCTTGTCGGGCGCTCCCTGGCACTGGATTGTCCATGATGATGGGACCACGGGCGCGGCCTGCAGAGTTTCTATCCCGCGAAACCCTTGTGCAGAGCGAAGTGGTCCCGTGTTGGTCTTTCCAAAAGGAAACTTTCCTGCACAGTTTCCAACAAGGCCCAGCACCCCAAAAGTACTGTAACCAGAAAAGCTTCCAACATGTCCTTTGTTCCAGATTTGAGCCATATTCTTTGGCAGGGCCGCTTCCTACTTTTGACCGCCGGCAGCACCCACTGCGCCGAGGTGGAATTTGGGCCTACGCCAAGGGCGACGTGCCTTTCCCAGCCACTGGCTGGGCTTGATCTGCTGCTTGGTCTGAATTTCAATGAATTGACCCCTGGCTACTTTGGGTCCGGGCCCGGTCTGGAACCTTGTAGGGAGTTTGGGCACACATGTACGTACGCTTTGGCCGTGACACATATGAGCAACGGACAGTATTGCCAGGTAAATTTGTAGCTGGGCAGGTGATGGGTATCGGTAGTTCCTGTGTGTTTTTGGTAGCTTAGCACAGTTGAAATATTGTCGGGCATTCATACACAGACCCACGCTGCCGTTTGGCGCAAGCAGTGCCCAGCACTCCCTTTGGTTTTTTATTGTTAGGTTGTTCCGCGACCTGGTTTTATGATGGGTATGGTAAGGCGCGTTATTACAAGAGCCCAAGATCAACTGCTCGGACGATGCTTGATTTGTTCAGCCCCCGACAAAAACAGTATTTTGGCGAGCCATTCTGAGCGAAACTTGGGCCCGGAAAACACATACCCAGATATCTTCACTTGGGCAACCCCCAGGTCTTGAAGACCCTGGTTCTATTTCAGAGGTTTGGGAGCCGCTGTTTGGAGAGTCTCGAAAGCGAAGTACAGCACAAGTGCGCAACGAAAAGACAAGCTAATGGGGGGGAGGAGACAGCCACGTGGCTGGGGTCCATGAGTTTGACATTCACTCATTTGGCTGGATACGGTGATATGTTATTTGGCCAGGTCACGATGGCTTTATTTGCTGCTTTGTGTCAAGCTGAACTAGGTTGGTTTTGTGTTGCTTGCTTTCACCAACATGAGCCGCTTTACATGCCTGCTTGCTTTGCACTTTGGCGAGTGACTTTGTGCATGTTACTCTTTTCACCGGCAAGCATCATGGATGTGAGCTCAGATGAGGGATGAAAGTATCACCCACTAACGTCCCTTACTTGGATCCATCAGCTTACGTTCTGACTCGTGCTCGTTGTTTGCACTTGCTATAACAGAAAGCGTGCGGACCAGGGAGCTTTCAACAGCGAAGCTTGTGACTTCTATGTGCAGACAAGTCACCAGAGGTATCTGGTGGTGGGTCCGCTTTTGGTTTGCCTGCAATCACGAAACCCAAGGGTCCCTGGTACTTCCGAGGAGGTTTGTCTATGTTGAGTCATTCAGACAGACTGCACTTCCGCCATCTTCCACCAGAAGGTTACGTGAAGATGAACACTTTCTTCCCGGCGCCTTTAGTCAGGTTCCGTATTGCTTGTTAGAGGGAAGCCTCTGATTGTCCGATGGTTTGGGCAAGTCAGGTAATGCAAATAAAAGGGGGAAATCATATCCTTTCGGGCTGTGATTTGCCCAAACATGTCTGCGGTGTGTTGGCTTCTTGGAAGCAAGTGGGACCAAACCAAAGACTTGAGCTGTTGTGCCTGGCATTGCCGGGGCCAACGGGTGGACACCGGCAGAACATGAACGGAAGTCGCAGCACAGGCGCAGCTCAGCGGTATGCGCGCAGAGCCCCCCAATCAGCATTTGAACATGATCAGTTGGAGCTTTGTTCCTCAAATGGGTGTTTCAACATCAAACTGACGTTTTGTTTGATTGACACATTATAATCACGATTTGCTCCCTTCTAAGTTGTTTGGTTGTGGGAACGGCCACCTGCGGGACCCGCCCTTCCAGCATTTGTGTCACCGTCATTGTCAACCATGGGCCCGGGCTAGGTCCATGGATGACGCTCTGCTGGAGGTCATGGGCGAAGCAAGGAGACGGAGAGAGTGAACTCATGCACGGGTACAGATTTTGGTGCCAGCGTCACGGTGCAATGATAGGGATTCTGGAAAATCGGATTAGGATTTCCAAGGCTATGTGAATCGCTCCGTTGTTTGAACTCTACACATGGGTCCTTGGTGCCCTGTGAGTTGATGGTTTGGCGGGGCTTCTTGCAAGGGGTACAAAGTTGGCCCGCACGCTCCCAAGCAAACCCAGCCAGCGATTTCGACCGGTAGTCACAAATTCACGGATCTGTCGGTTTTGGCGGTTTGATTGAAAGGAAAACAAAGGCGCTTATGAGATGTTAGGCATTCCTTAGTCAAAGAGCTTTTGATCTCCTGGACCTGCTTTCCCGAAGTGTCCCTTACCTCAGGAGGAATGACCCTTTTCTCTTGTCCTCAAGGGCACCAAGGGACACAGTTCGCGACGTGTTACTTTAGGAGAGTCCTCAGCAACTTGACAGTTGAGCCGGCAAAAGTGAAGAACCGCTTGGCGGGTGTTCCCAATTTCAGAGAACAAAACGAGTGGCACCTCCAAACAAAAAGCACGGTTGGGCCAGGTTGGTTGTTGGTTGGTTAGTGGATGGGCGGGTTGGTTCCTTGGTTGGTTGGTGGGTTGGTGGGTTGGTTTGTTGGTTGGTTTGTTTGTTGGGTTGTTTGTTGTTTCGTGATGCTTTGCTTGTTTTGCTTGTTGGCAAGGCAGGCCGACACATAGCTTGTCAAATCAGATGTGCTAAGAGATGCGTGCAATTCAGCAAAAGAAAGGCTCCCGAACCTACCCAACAAAATGCCCCGTTTGCTTGATCCCCCCTCAAGCTGCCGAGCTCTCATGTCTATCCAACGATGTCGAACACGCCTCTTTTGGGTCGTTTTGATGCGAGACCAAATGGAAAGCGCCAGTTTGTCTTGGTCCGTCGCTTGCGGCACTACACGTACAGTATTAGGTTTTGCTAGAACGGGTCCAAGATGTCCCGTAGATGTTCAGATGTAAAGCTGCCCTTGCCAGGAACGACGCCGAGGCAACGATGGATCGATCGAGATGCTTAATTCGCCAAACTTGCCAGAAAATTGTAGTCTTGGACTGCCGATGTTCAAACTTTGGACTTTTGATGTACAACCAGCACACGTGCCACTGTTGAAAGGCGGTTCACAAAACAATCAGGCCCTGATGCGCCGCCAACAAAGCAGGGGGCGCGACCCACGTTGCCATCTTGTCAATCCGCCTGGGATTTGAGACAACCAAGGTTTCCCACTAAGGAACCCTTTATGATTATTTTCTAGACACTTGGCAGGCAGGCAGCAACAGGTCAGCGATGGGGTTTTGGCCAATCAGCTTAGATCTCAAATGGGTGTGTCTCATTGTTGGAAGGGCTCCAGGCCCCTTTTCGGTTTTCTGTCCGTTTCCTTTGTTGAGTATGCGCAATGTGCCGTTTCCCTTTTTTCCTTGGTAAGTAGGGAGTTTTTCTATGAGCATTCCACAGGCTTTGACCATGGGATAGCCGCATGGTGAACATGCAGCTTCGAATCAAAGGATTTGATTCAAAATGGAGATGCCCTCAGAGTTGGTGGATCCCTCTTGGTATCCCTCAAAAAGTACCCTCGAAAATGACACCCAAAAGAACGGATCGACATCCCCTTTAGCTGGGGTGTGGAATGAAGCTGTAAATCCTGGCCGACTGATTCTTTGGATGCGACAACACCACTGCGGTACTCGGGGTACTTCGGAATACTCGCCACGATTGGGGACTTCGTTTGGCAGATCATAGTTAGCCATGAACTGGGGACACGAATCTACAATCAAACCTTGGGCAATAGCCGCCCATTTGATTCTTGGTATGCGTTTGAGTAGATGCTTTTGCCACTAGCATTCTGATTCTGACTCAGCTGAATTGTGGGATTGTTCTTCTGTTTCCGTTTCTGCGTTGCACATTGCATTAATAACCTCGAGCGAGCGTTGGTTAGCAAGGGCCACTCTATCAACCCCATGTCTCTTCTCAATCAGCCGAACAGGGCATTTGGCAGGACTTCCGCTTTTGTGTCATGCTGGATAACACGAGGCCAACCCTTTTCCGCGTTTTGAACACTGACAGTAGGCTTGGGGGTTCTCTTAACAAACATGATCAATATGTAGAGCTGTCTTTTGAGCGTGTGTGTGGATCATACGAGCTGCACCCAGGTTCAGTGACACCTTTTGTCTGTTTGTATTTGGAGGCTTGTCTCCAAAATGATCACTGGGCAACTCTGTCAACAGGGTTTGCCCGAGCAAGCCGTTGTGACGGGTAAAGATCATTCACCACACACTTGAAACGGAATGCCCAGCGGCTGAAACGCGTGGCTGAAACGCGTTCCTCCAAACAGTGGCTTCCTCATAGCTGTCTGAAATACGGCGGGTTCCGCCTTAGGCTCGCGCTATCGCAAGGATGCCAAGCTGGTTCGTTCCCTGAACCAGAAGGGCAAGCGCTGGCGCATGGGAGACGAGGGAATGAGGGGGAGTGGAGTCTAGGTGTTTTTTTCCGCTATAAACAAGGGGTATGCGACCCCACTCTTGCATATAGCGTGATTTGTCAACCTGCAAGGAAAGACTGTCCTCCCCTTAGCGTTCAAGGGGGGCGCCAGCCTTTCATGATGGGAGGGTTTTCTAGAACCTTGGTACAAGTGGAATCAGTCATGCGCAAGGGGGTCAAAGTTGCTTTTTAGTTGGGGTCGTGAGCAGAAAGGCGTTTCCACATAGAAAGCCGTCAGCGGAGCAAGGGGCTTAAGTTGCTGGGATGGCGAGGTTGAAGCCACCATGCCATTTTCTGAACATAGCAAGTTGTACTGTCAGCGGGTTCGGGTTTTGACACATTCCCACATCCATGGGATCAGTGCGTTCAGTTTTGACGATCTTAAGTGGTTGACCTGCACATTGCTTAAAATGATTCTTGGTTCGGCTAGGAACTTACAGGGCTAGCAAAACAAATCACGAGTCCCAGGCAGGCCCCGTGGAGCCAAGCTCGGTACCTGGTGCGCTTGGCAAATGGAGCTTGAAACAAGGGGGCTCCAAAGCTCACCAAGGAGTTCCCTCGAGCGGTGTTCCAAAAGGAATTGTTCAGCTAGACGGGCAACAAGCCCAAGAAGAAATTAGCGACGAACAGGCCGCGTCCTCCAAAGCAAGACACAACGCGTAACCTGAAAAGAGGAGACGCATTGCTCAGGAGATGCTGCTGTGGGCCGGGTGATCCTCGGGCAGGAGCTCAGAGCGAGAGGGACCCCCAAGTGCCCGAAGTTCCAGCCATGGTATTGCAAGTCTCCGCTGGGATGCTTTTAGACATCTACTGTTTTAGCGCGTTGAGGCTCACAAAGTTGGGACCGCCGAAGACATTCAGCATTTGCTGCGCAATTGATGTCTTCTGGAAAGTCCGGTAGGAGACGCGGCCCGGAACGGCCCGAGTGAGAGGCGGGAATCAGAGGGAACCGCCCAAACGAAGTTTTTGCCGAGGGGAGGCCCTCTGAGTTGGGAAAGTGATGACCTTTGTGACCAGGGTTAAAGCAAATCCACCCTTTGCAACGGCTGCCCTTGTTTCGGCTGCCCTTGTTTCTCGATGAAGTGCCAAAGGCATGTTTGTCAAGGCAGCAAGTATCATGGGGCTTGCTTCTGTCTAGACCAATGACTGGGCGTCACTCAGGCCAGAATGCTAAGCAACAACGTCCACGCGCAGGTGCCCTTTGAGCTTGGTTTCGTTGAACAAAGATAGCACATACCATTGTTTTTGCAAAGGGACAGCTAGGCTCCAAACGCCTTGCTGAAAATAGCTCCACTCCGTAGTTGGAGAGAAGGAAGGTTAACACGAGCATCCAGCAGTGCTGTTGCTCCTAGACCCTCGGGCACATGGGGTTGCGTTGCGGATAAAGTGTTCCGCAGTTTTCCACTCTTTTGGGCAACGTGTTCGCAACCAGGGGGGGTGCCCCAAAAATATGTAGATCTACATTTTGGAAAGCTATTGAGCCCTTGTGGGCAGAATGGTCCGGATGAAATGGTTGAGATTGCTTGCTACATTCCCAGCTTTTAGCCGTTCATTTGTTCGAGTGGCCTGGTACGAATGGTTTGGACATGGATTGAAACCCCCTCAGTGTGTAGTATGTGACCTTTCTGAGATGACTTTGTGCAAAGGGATGTTTCCTCCCCCCTTTCGCTGACAAAGACAGACACACCTCAACTGTGAGTGGTCTTGAAGACTCCGGAATGAGGCGGCCCCTTGCGTACCGGAATTTATGGGAGGTGGCGACGGGTGGAGAAACGCGTTACCTGATGAGCGACGAAACAGAAGCACATCATTGTCTCTGCTTCTGCAAGTCTTGATGAGTTTAGCATCACGCTTCACAATCTCTCCTGTCAACTTCTCTTGCATGCGATGCTGTGAATTGAAGCTGCGGGTGCAGCTGCGCGGGATGCTGTGTGTGTGTGTGTGATGTTGCGCATGATGCTACGCGGGACGCTGCGCAGGAGGTTGGGCTGGCGGCTTTAGTTAGCATTTGCTGGAGACGCGGAAGTGTAATTATCGTGCTGCTTTTGCACTCTAAAGTTGCGATGTTTCCAAGCTGGAGATGCGAGAGTGAGCTTTCCGAACATCATCTTCGCGCAACTACGTTTGTGCTTAGAAGTTGCGATTTTGTAGACAGGGCTGCGACAATGCTCTTTGCGTACTGCTTTGGCGCTTAAAACTATCAATTTTGCAGCCGGACATGTAGAAGTGCAATTTTCCAGCCGGAGCTGCCGCGGACCAGGCAGGTCGAAACCCGCAGGGAGCAGGCGCGTAAACCACGCGACAGCTTCCGAAGACCGTTCCGCAAGCAAAGAAACAAAAACGTGCCGCGCCATGGCGAGAGCTCAGATGCGCGCGATCTCCGCAGAGGGCTTGCCGCGACCGAGACGCATCCGCGCTCCACCGCAGGGACAGCGCTTCGACACGCACGATCTCTGCACAATGTTCGCGCGTTGCCACAGCGAAACCGTTTCGACACGCGCGATCTCCGCAGAGGGTTCGCTTTCGCCTGGCAACTCTTGCAAATGAATGAAACGCTGCGCCTGCCGCGAAATTCACAGACCCTCTGTGAGAATGCTGCATGTCACGAAATCCGTAGCACCCGTGCAAAACACATTGCGCCCGCAACGAAGAGTGCGCTCCAATCTCACAGAACTGCGCGCTGGCCATGGAATCAAGCCGTGAACCGCCAAATCCTAAAATCGGCATGGCGCCGCAGCGACAGCGCAGTTTTGAAGAAAGGTCCGTTGCCATCAAACAAACGCACTTCAATCTCACAAAAGCAACCCGTGCGAACTTAGGTGCGTCGTGCCCCTGCTGCCAAATTGGCGCGAACTGTTGCCCCTGCCATCAGAAACACGATGTCATTCTGAAAATTAGCACGGCGCTGCAGCGAGACACGGACAAAAAAGGCAACAGCCCCAATCCCACGTTGAACGTTTGGTTCCTTTGGTTTGGTCTTCTGCCCCCCCTCCCCCCAATTCATTTTTGCGGCCAGGCCAGTGGCTGGGGACTTTGTGCCGGGACACTGAAGCCTGAAACCAGCCGCTTTCATTTAATTTGCTTCAGGGGTCCTCTGGTAGGTGACGATCAAGGGCCGCGGCGGAAACATCGGGGCCCTGCTTTGTTGCTGTCCTCTGCCATGACTGTTTTTATTGTTTTGTATGTTCGATTCCGATTTGGCCAACATGACAGCAGGTCGCCAACCTGCGAGGGGTGGCATGAGTTTAACACCTGGCGCTATGGGGATTCCTTGCTTCAGTTTAGCCCACTTTACCTTGCGTGGCGTGGAGGTGGAAGCCGGATCGGTCGGAGGCGGTGGAAAGCAATGCCAGACCTTGCCAAAAGGGGTGGTGCGGGGCAAATACAAGGCGCTTCGCAATGTGCAAGTTGCGGCCAGGCATCCTGCACGGGCCCAAGAGAGGTCCGGCGGGTATTGATGATGGCGCGGGCGGATTCGGTGAGCTGGTGTTGGCGGGAAGCACGACAATCCTCTGCAAGATGATGGTACTTTACCAACCAGGCAGTTAACGGACTTCGGAAAAGGATCACTGCTGAGGACGGCGGTGGATGGTCGCATCAATGCGGTGGTGGGCGGGCCGAACTGCCGCAAGGAATTATCCATTCCCAGATGGACGCCAAGGCCTGCAAGATCGATGGAGAAGCTCTTCTCATTGAGGATGACAAGCAGATGGCTCCGGAGGGTGACATCCTGATGTTCCGGATGATCATGATCTACATTACAACCAAGCGGCCAAGCGATAGTTGACTTCTGCCCAGCTGTTGCTCACGGTGGAGGACGGATCTGTGGAAAAGGCTCAAGCAGACGGAAAACCTGCGGGAGTGGACTTTTTTCGGCAGGGAGACCTTGGAGGCGCTGCAGTGAAACCGACAACGCAACCAGCCGAAGGAGAAGAACCCGGCGGAGCACACGGGCATCAAGGGATCGATTGATGAGGGCGGTTGCTGTTGCCCTGAAGACGCAAGTCAAATACAAGGAGATACGACTCCGGAAAACGAGTCGGGTGGAACACGGGCCGCTGCCGCACGTGTCCAGCTGGGCCCCTTCCAGAGTGGATAGGACGTCGGCAGCCTTTCCAAGATCCCACTAGGATTGAGAGAAGCAAGCCCCGGCCAGACCGATGGACTCGTGGGTACTGAGTGCAGATGAGGAAGACGCGGTGACGATCACAAGAAGGAGCAAAAGACGGTGAACCTAGAGAGCCGCGGATCTGGGAGCACGTCTTTGAGGATTGCCAAAGATGGGCTGGCAGTTGAAGGCAAGAAATGCGGAGGACTGTGGGACTTTGAGCTGGAGGACCAGGTCCAAAAGCTCCAAGGCGGTGATGGAAGGCAATCAGCACTTGCACCTGGAGCTGAAGAAGCAGGGAAACGAGAGTTCATGACAATGGTTCTACAACAGAGATATTATTGGCGCTGGGAGTGGTTCTGAAGGGCGTCAAGAAGATACATGAAGAGCAGGGCCCAATCCACAAAAAGCTCGGCTTGAAAGATTGGCGCCAAGGAAAGGCGGTGTGCTTGGTCAAGGCAGGGGATGCGCGGAAGAAATGCCGACTGGTGATCTGCGGGAACTATGGCAAGAGCCACAGCAGCTGTACACTGGGCATGGCTATGAGGTTGGCGTTGGGGCATGCGGCGATCTGCAGATGGGTGAGATCATCATTGCCACGAAGCCCCCCAGACATCCTGGTTTTGACAAGGACTGGCCCTTCCTGGAGAAGTGTGGGTGGATGAAGCAGCACTTTTCCTGCCACTGTCTGGAAGTTTGTGGTTGGCGCAGAAAGCGACAAAGAGGAGGAGGCTGGTCTATGCGTGGGTCTGTGGGCCCTCAGCCACGGCGGCGTTGTGGTCATGTGGCAGGGATGCCTGCTAAAATGGAAATCATGATCCTCAAAAGCGACATAGATCCTACGATCTTGGTTTGCCTGATAGCAGTCGTAGCCATTGCATCTGTACCGGCTGGCGGTCAAGTATGTCGTCGGTGGCTATTGCTTCAAGCCCAACGAGAAGGACACCGAAAGTCAAGCTCAGAAAGGCGACGGTCGAGGGCCAGAACGAGGAGAGGGTGATCAGCTGGTGGATGAGGAGCTCAATTTACGCTGGAGGCAGGTGATGCAGATCAGAGGGATGGCGCTGCAGCAGATGCAGCGACCGAACAGGAGGCGCAACTGCTGCGGGCTGCGCAATGCCGCGCAGCCACTGCTGGCCTGGTGGAGACGCGGGGCAATGACTTAGGAGGGCCACGACGGCTTGCCTCATGAAAGCCCGAACTGTGTGCGTTGCAGGAGGGCGCGCGGCTACGCGGTCTGCAGATTTTGTCAAGGCAGTATTTCGCAAGAGAACTTCCAGCAGGCGGAGGCGGAGGCAGGTGGCAGAGAGGCGAAAGGGGTCGCTTCTTAGAGGACTTTTCACAGCATCAGAACGCTGTGCGTCTTAGCGAGTCGAGAAGGTGAAACCTTCCTTACGTTAGAGCTTCAGGAGGAGTATTCGTGAAGCTGTTTTTGCATCAAAACCGAGCCCCACCCTATGTTCAATACGACCAATTCACTTTAGAATATGCAGCCCCCCCGGATCTGGCGGGCGCTTCCCCTATTGCGTTTGGGTGTCCAAGCCCATTGCAGTTTTCGCTTCTGTGTGCGGACAAATTCAGGCCACCAATCAATGCCATGTCCTTGGCAAAGCACCCTCATTTCGGACCTAAGATGTTTTCTTCATTGCATGCCTCTTGACTTGGCAAGCTTGAAGCTAGTTGTTGATAGGTCTTGTCGTAGTTTCAGGAAAGGCAACAAGGCTGTCTAATACTTCTGCAACGGAACTCAACGGCCAGATTATGCAATGAATTTGCCTGCCAATGGGGAACGCCCAGTTGGAAACACCGCAAGCCGCAAAAGTGCTCCGCAAAAAGGCGCCCATTTGGGAAAAGTGCTGCGAGGGGGCTTTGCGACCTCACTCATGTTGAAGTGTCCTTCCCTTCTTGCGGGTTACCAATCTTACATAGCAGGGCCTTTCTGCCGCACAAGCCTGCAGTGCCTCCAAAACGCACGCAAATGGCGTTGACCGGGCCGATTCTTAGTTGTTTTTCATGACGTGTGGATGTGTCGCGAATGTGGCAACTGTTTAGATGGTTGGTTGCTTTTGGTCTCAAACTTTGACCTCTGCCGACGTTGCGACAGATGAAGTTCTAAGGATGTGAAACGCGGAACCCCGACCATCAAGAACACATGCCAAGGGCTTGCTTGAACTAGTGGTGGCCTGCTGCTTCTCTGAAGATGCCGCGGCCATAAAGGCAAGCGCGCGCTGCTTGGCTCTCTGAAGCCCTACCACTTGCAGGTCCATAACCCCATGTTGAGCTCGAAGCCAACCACTGCCCCAAAAAGGCAAGTAAGATATGTCATTTTCAAAAAGGAGGTCGGGGATGGTCCTTCTTTTACGGAGAGTTGTGGAGCACTATGAGTGTTCCTTGAAGTGAACCATGCCCACCACCCACCGCGAGTTACACTGATTTTGCAGGCAAGCTCGGGATATGGAAGCATGTTGACATGGACGAGCGTTCAGCTGAAGACCAGCTGCTTGAGTATTCAGAGCTTCGCGCCCAGCCAACTGGCGGCAAAGTCAGAGCGAACGAAAAGACACGCTAGCTTGCAGAGTGCTTTTTCAAGAGCGCGCCGATTGTGACAGGCTGAGATTCGAAGACCAGGGCAGCCAATCTTCTAGGAGTTGTTTCCCCATCCATATCACAGATCGTTCTTTTCGCCCCCTGTGCACTTTGGTTGCCCCTTGGTCAACCTTGATCCGTTTGACATGTTGGAACGTGACTGTTTCCCACCAAGCAAAATGTTTGACTGTTTGCTGTGGTCACAGACCAACCTAGTCAAGTTTCTGATAGCTTGGTTGGTCCGGAGCTGAATGTTTGGCTTCTGGTTTTATTGAGGGCGGTTGTCAACAAACCATGGGCCGTCAAAACCAGGCCCTTCAGCCTCTGAACTGGAAGCTGTTTTCAATCGTACAAATTTTTGAGGTTTACTAGATATGGACCGTAATGTAAACACATGTTTGCTGGCTGGCAGAAGCTGAGGTACTTGACAAGAGCTGATAGACATCATAACTGTGCTTATGTAAGGAGCTGTTGACCAGCCACTGGCTCAAGGCCCGCCCGTGGTTTTTTGCATGTAGGATCGCACCGCCATGGACGCCCTTGCTCGAAGCCAGGCGCTGTGCCCTGCGAGCCAGATGCGTATGTGGGGCGGAGAAAGGCAGAGCGGTCTTCGGCGCACAGTGAGCGAGCGGCGTTTCCCCCGAAACTCGCTACCACGCACGCGGACACTGTCTTGGGATATGTGGCAGAGGGCTTCGGGCGGGAAACGCTTTTACTTTGGCTGGCGCACACGAACAACGCCTGGGCAGAAAAGCCGCGTCGGTGTTGGCCTTCGAGTCTGTTTTAGGCCTGGAGCAAATCAGGTAGTGTGAGAGTGGCGGCAAGTGCCACTCCTGGTCCAGGTTTGTGTCCCTCTGCAGTGTGGCAATCATTGAAGGCAAACAGTTCCCTGCAGTGTGGCACTCACTACTGTGCGCGATAATGATGATGACGACGATGATGATGATGATGACGATGTCCCAGCTAAACTAGTTCGGTGGCTTGGTAAGCGGCGCGTGCGCACGCCCACATCCACCTACCGTGCACGCACACCTGCTGCTTATGAGAAGAACCCACGCCTGAGCACATCCACCATGCAGCGCGCGCGCCCTCAAATGATAGGAGCCCACGCCCAAGCGCATCCGCCATGAAGCGCACGCACGCCGCGTAGAGGGTAATTTCGTGATGGCGCGGACGGCGAGGCCTTTTCCTTAATCCTCAACGGCTACACCATGTAGCTGCAAGTCAACGGTTGCGCTTCTCGATTCAGCGCAGGCTCCCCTCCTCACATCGTGGGGTTTGAGCGCGGGCCTCGCAAAAAGTCGTCTGCGCGTAGTCTTCTCCAGGCCAAGCGCTTGAATTCCCAGCTCACTGATTCGAATCAGCGACGATACTGTCAATGCAGAACCTGCGCATAGCCTCAAGGGCATCCCACAAATCTCAGCAATGCTGGGGGGTTGTTTTTGCTGCAGCCCTGACTGGGAAGGCTTTGGAGCTTGTAGCAAACGTCCCGGAGAGAGCTTACTGCTAGGGGCTGAAGATGATCTTGCCATGGGAATGTGCGGCTTTTGGATGGAGCCTGTTGAAGGCGCTGCCGGAGGCCTTGAACTCCGTCACCGCCAGGGAGGTTCACCTTCACGTCATGAAGGCCCAGGCCGCGCCCTGTCCATCCACAAGGCTCACGAGCAGTCGCAGTTTGCGTTGCCTGGAGCTTCAGAAATTTGATGACACCAGGTCCACCATCCGTCGTTTGATCGCACCATTCCATGACGCCCGAAGAGCACACACACACACGCACACACACGCCCGCAGAGAATAAGGTCCTCCCGCCCACGCGCGTCCGCCACGCAGAGCGCGCAGGCAAGCGCATGATAAGAACCCACGCCCAAGCGCGTCTGCCACGCAGCGCGCCGTGCAGCAGAGGATATGTCCAAGCGCGTCCGCCTCGCAGCGCAGGCGCCCCCGCAGATGAACCCACGTTCAAGAGCATCCGCCTTGCGTTGCGCGCGCGCCGGCCATGATAAGAGCCCACGCCCATGTGTGAGCGCATCTCCCTGCGTCAGACCCGCAGATAGGAAAGAACCCATGCCAAAGTGTGTTCGCCGCGCAGTGCGCGCACGCGCGCTGATAAGGCAGCTAGGTTTTGGAAAGAAGGAAAGCCTGTGACGTGACACCTGTGTTTCTGACTTGCCCGAAACGCTTACTTGAACTTGGCTCTTTCGTCCGT